TGATGAAAAGAAATGGAAGGCAAAGAACAAAAATACAGATGCTCTCATGACCTCCCATGACATTTTAAAATTCAGTGCTTGCTTGTGTACTGATATCAAGAACACTTGATTAAATGACCTTGCAGAATGACTAAAACTGAATGATAAGTAATTGTGAACATCACAAGAGAACTGTAGGAAAATAATGTGATTGTCTTTATTTGGAATATGCTGATTAGCATGTTTACAGGGCATTCCAGTAGCTGTAGAGCATGTAGAGCTGTAGAGCAAACATATTTTTGGTATATACTGAACCTTAATCAAAGTGATGTATATGCAAACATGCTTGTCTATAGTATTTAGGACCCTGATTTTTAGGAAAGGTTGATGTTTTTTTCAGGCATTGAAGGGCCATGTAAATACCAAAGTACATTAATTTGGTAATCATTTAGCACCATGGTATATATGAAGGCATCATAAATGTTTTTACCACCTGATACAATCATGACACCACAGCACTTCTTTTGTAAGAGAGAATATGTGCTTCACACCTAAAAGCAACTAATAAAATAAGTGCCTGTTTTTTTTTATCCTTTAATAAATATGTCTTACTAACACCAAAAAGTGAACTTACTCCACTAGCAAGTGAGGAAACAAGAAATAAAGAAGCCAGCGTCATGAAGCTGGTCACTTCCTCTCTCAGAGCATGGGCTGGACTTGTTCGCTGTAAAAGTTTCAGATTGCCTCTGCTGGGCTCACAACAGAGAAGAACAGCGTTCATTTGTTCATTGCTAATTGTCTTCTGAGGGAGCATGTCATTTGTAAGCACTCTCCGTCAGTGGGACGAGGCCGTGGCTTGTGTGGAGCAAAGAGACCCAGCCTCTGCTCTCAGGATATTCCTCAACATCGAGGAGAAAAGCTCCAAGATCTTCTTCAACATTGGCTGTCTTTATTTGAACAACAGTGAGTTAGATGAAGCTGAAAAGGTACAGTTACATGGCAGATTCTTTTTTATGCTACTGAAGAAAACAGTGTTTAAATAAGGTATTTTTTAGACTGATATCCTCTTTGAATTATGATTTGACACTGTTTTTGCTATTTTAAAAAAGCTTGTGGCTGTAAAAAAGGAAGTAAAAGTGGTTTCACTCTTTATGGGGAAATTTATTTCTATTATACATATGAAGGCATTTGACAGAAGTATTGGCAAAGATGAGCACCTGGCTGCGGCATTTTTTCAGAGAGGAGTTACATTCTACAAAAAGGAAAGGTAAGGCCATTAATTAAAAAAAATATTTTAATGCCGTGTTCTTAGAGGAGACTACAAAACACCACATACTGTCTGTTCAGGAGAAATACATTGACACTGTTCATAATCTATATATTGACAGTGTTCATAATTGTATCTTCAGGTTTGAAGAGTCTCTTCTGGATTTCCAGCAGGCGTTCAAGCAGTTACGAGGAAATCAACTAATAGATTACAAACCTCTAGGGCTGAGATATAAACTGTATGCTTGTGAGGTAAGACCAGAAATGTGCCGTACATTGGACACTTCATGTACACAGAATCTTGTTTTTTTGTTTGTTTGTTTGTTTGACCATCATTGGTTTTATACCTAATAGTATACCTAATATACTTAAGAGTTGTGGTGTGAGTGATTGATTAATTCCACTTGATAACTTATTTCAGACGTATCAGTCCGTTCTCTGATATGGTCATTTTGTCATATGCAATTTAGGTGCTGCACAACATAGGACTAGTACAGGCTCAGTTGGGAAAATGGGAGAAAGCTCAAGAGAACCTTCTTACTGCACTAAGCTTGAGGGCAGACGCCAAGTTCAGCCATATTGACCATGCTCTGGATGCCATATTGGTATGTAACTGCTAAAAGTGTTCCACATAACATCGGTCATTGAATAATTTGCACAGTTTTTGCAGTGATATAAAAACCAATTTTAAAATCGTTAGTTTTAAATTATTATTTAATTTTAAATTCATTTTAAAATTGTTTTAAATTATTGTTACTATCTGAGGCAACAAAATCTAAGGGCATGAACTTATATGTGCTGTTGTTTTGTAACATATTGCAGTTTTCCTAATTAGAAATTGGTGAAATTTGGTGTTGCATAATTACTGTTTCTGGGTAGGTTTTGTGGGAAGTTGTGTAAGCTGCATGGGGGACAAAATTCACAAGACAGATGTCTTTTACTTAGTCACTAGTCATCCTTCTACTTCTTGTGACATTTTTGTAAGAATTTTAATGACAAATTAATATGACATTTTAAAATTGTTGCCCAAGGATACCCTTGAAAAAGAAATAAATAAACAAATCAAAAAATAAATAAACTCAAGTTATATTACACTGATGAGCATAGTGCAAACAGCATGAATTGTAGGTGCTGATTGTCTTAATGCATTGTTTTAAAACTGATCAACACCGTGATTTCCTCTTTTCAGAAGCAGAAGCTCTTTCTTTTGGTAGAGATTCGAGCTGGGCTGCTGTTCAAACCCAATAAGCACTATGTGGCAGAGCTGGAGAAAAGGGACTATCTTGGAAAAGCCAAGGTATCCCCATTATCACATCAGTACAGTGTGCAATGCTTCCGAAGAGATCCATTTTCTATTTGGCCAGTAAATCAGACAAACTGATTAAGATTAGTGTTTTGTTTTTTGTTTATAGGTTGTGTCTTCTATTGTACCTGCAGATGAGTTTTCTGGGTTTGCTCCACTTCAGCCTCAAGTAAGTAGTGTTGTTAATAAGTCAAGTAAGTAATGAAATTGTTAACATGTTAACATTAGCATAAAATAAGCGTAACAGAGAGAGGTTTGAAGATAATGTTAATGATAAGCGTATACATTAATGGTACACATTTAATGTAGGCTATATGCTCAAAACTGTTACTTTAATGACCACAAGCCATTTCTTTAATTTGTGTATTGTTAGGTTGACAATGTTCCATCTACACCAAAAGTCCCAGAAGTACTAAGGTACGTTTAGGGTCATGGACATGGAAAACACTATTTAATGCATCTTACCTTCTAACTATAGCTTAAATATGTTTGCAATTTATGGAGTTTTTGTATTGTTTTGTCCTCTTGTTTTACATAAATGTAAATGTTATAATCATCAGGGTATTTGAAGGTGAGCCACACACTGTTCTCTATGAGTTTTACCCTGAGACCAAAGAGGAGCTGGCTGTGTTGCCTGGCAACATTGTCTTCGTTCTTCAGAAAGGAGCTGACAACTGGGCATCTGTTGTTTTCAATGAGAAGGTATATTTTTGGTAGATTTAACAAGTTAATCATAAAGGAAAGTACATTGGGAACAGAAAAAATGTTCCACGTGAGAGCCGGCGTTCACTGTCAAGAGAACATTCCGATGTCCAATGCTAATGTAATCAACGTGTGTTTAAAGTACCGATAATAATGCCCTATTGTCTATTTTTTTGTTCTCTTGTTATTTCTAGCGGGGCCTTGTACCTTATAACTTCCTTGAACCCTTGGATATTGTTACAATGACGTCAAAACCAATGCAGGTACAGTAGCTGCATTTTGAACAAATATGCAGTATTTCAAACACCAGTAGGGACACAGTAACAAATCGAATATGTATCATACAATCCACATTTGATGACTTCAAGTGCACCTGGGAAAGTCATACCTCTGAGTCAGGCATTCATAATTATGATAACAATAAAATGTTTTTGTTACATAAAGTAAACCATGCAAGTTGAGTGGTTTATTTTTAGATGGATAATATCCTAACATTTGAGCTAAATTACTTTTTGTGTCCTACATTAAGAAATATCACACGTGACCTCTTATAGATTGAACCATTAAATGAAAATGATGATATACCAGCTCCACCAAGAAGAGCACCACCTAGCAGACCAGTGGGTACAGAAGGCCTGAAGACTGTGAATGCAGAGGTTCAGTATTCCCTACATACTCATGATATAATCACAGTTTATTAACAGTAAATGGATATCAACTAACATAGCTATCACACAGTGCTTACATAACGTATTGAAAGGCCAACTTTTATCAGATACAGCCTCATTATGTTTATGGCATCATGAACATATTGATTATTATTAATAAGATTATTTCTCAAGCTCTGCTGTATTCTTCACAGACTAATAACATTAGGGAATTCTCAGGCTGCATTGTGAAAGTGCACTTTCGGTTCACCATAGCAGTCAGAATTGCACATGGACAATCATATGGTGTCATTCTTCAGACGATAAGCTCTAAACTTAAGCTGCCTGCATCAACGTTAACTTTATGGTAACTATACCAATTATAACATTCCCAGCACCATATTGAAACATTTCTGGAGAGAAAAAAAAAGTTGTAATGTTCATTTTTTAGTTATGCCAAAGAAGGTGTTGATGAGAGAGTGAATCTTGAGGACTCTGAAATGGAGGCTGTGTGGAATAGTGTGAAGGATAACCGTCTTGCGCTGTGGTGTTCACTGACTGAGGTAAAATACAACACTTGACTCATCTATGCTCACACAGATTGAATTAACAGCATAATATAGCTTACTGTACACTACACTTGAAAATAGTAATATTAAATAAGACATACTGCTGTTCAGCTTTACCAGTAACTTACCCGCAACATTTCTTTTCTGGCACTTCCCAAAACTGCTGTCTGAAAGGGTAAAAGTGTGCCTCATGAGAAAGTGGTGGCTCTGTACTCTTATGACTCTTCTACCCCTGAAGACCTGGATTTCAAACAGGGGAACGTCATCACAGTTCTTTCCAAAGGTAGGAACTGAAACTGTGATACTTGTAATTTACTAATATGGGCATAAAATACAGTATGAACTATTAAGGTATTCTGAAGATTATTTCTGTTGACTTTTTGTTTCATTTTCAGTCAATGATGAGTGGCTTGAGGGTCAATGCAACGGGAAGATTGGCATATTCCCATCATCCTTTGTTAAAGCATTTAATGGGGATCAGCAATGTGAATGAATCATTCATCCAGCAGTTATGTGTTGTCCAACTAATGTGTTGATTTGATCATTTGGGAGAAACCTGCAGTATTTTAGGGCCTGTTTTTTAATTAATATTGTCAAGTTCATGCCAGAACTTGCTTCACTATCCCAGTTTGGTTGTGTGGTAGTCGTTCCACATTTCACATATTGAAGTCATATTTTTGAAGTCAGGAGAATGAGTTTTATTTTGTTTGACTATAAAGACAAACAATACAACATTAAATCACTTTTGAAATAATTTACATTTTTCTATTATTCGCTTTCTATAATTTGCTACCATTGGTAACACAATAGAACTTAACATTCTTATATTTAACAAATATTAATTTACCTTCCTTGATTTTGGCCAGTAACAGGAACACTCACCCTTTTCAATGGAATTAAAACACGTTCCCAAAAGATATTCTGTATTATCACAGACAATTACATCCTTCTCAGTATACTGATGCAATTCATATGCTGTGAGTGTGAAAGTAGTCCTTTGATGATTTCTTATGACAGTCCAATAATAAATGACTTTTATGATTTTTGAAGAGGTGTTGAAGCATCTTTATTTCCCACACCCTCCTCCTCATAAGCGATGGCAATGCCTCTCCGTCCTTCCACAGCTTTCACCACTGGCGTCTGCCCCAGTTTGGGCTCCAGTCCCTGCCAACTGCGGCCAGACAAAAATGATGCTACAAAACAAAAAGATCATGATTATATTCTGCATTTGCATGACTCAAACTTGTCAATTTCAAGCTACTAAGTTCAAGAATTCCTACTGCAACTACAGTTCAGTACGGCCTCCGACTCTATACCTGCTGTGTTTGTATTAGCCACAGTGAGAGTCTGATTTCTCGGGACGAGTGAAGAAGACTCTGATGTGCCATTTATGATCTCCGATGAGGTGGTGGAACATGTTCGCAGAGCTCCTGTGATTAGAGAGACATCTGTGGTCTCTTCCTCAATGGCAGACTGGTCTTGCTGAGGGAAGCCCACATGACTGCTTCCACCTATAATATATGTTTCCTATTAGATGCCTAGAACAATAACATTTATATATACACTTGACATCATTCAAGGCCCATATGTGACCCTGGACCACAAAACCAGTCATAAGGGTCAATTTTTTGAAATTGAGATTTATACATCATCTGAAAGCTGAATAAATACGCTTTCCATTGATGTATGGTTTGTTAGGATAGGATCATATTTGGCCGAGATACAACTAATTGAAAATCTGGAATCTGAGGGTGCAAAAAAAATCTAAATATTGAGAAAATCACCTTTAAAACTGTCCAAATGAAGTTCTTAGCAATGCATATTACTAATCAAAAATTAAGTTATGATATATTTAGGGTAGGAAATTTACAAAATATCTTCATGGAACATGATCTTCACTTAATATCCTAATGATTTTTGGCATAAAAGGAAAATCGATAATTTTGACCCATACAATGTATTTTTGGCTATTGCTACAAATATTCCCCAGCGACTTAAGACTGGTTTTGTGCTCCAGGGTCACATATTCTTAGTAGAAATATATTAAATGACACAATATTAACATCACAATACTTTTCTAGTGCTCTGTAGAATGATTTGTTGAAATGAGTCAACGACATACCAGGCAGTAAATCTCTGAAGTCTGTGACATATTCTCCAGTCCACTCTCTGTGCTTATTGCAAGCCAACTCCATCTCAAAGGGAGTCACCACAGGTCTGTAGAATTCACTTGAATCCAGCAGTGAGTTCTCTGGACAGGCAACTAGCACGTAAACGTCAATTTCCAAGAAGTTAGCGAGCTTGGGAACATTGATCTTTCCCATAGCAAACATATAGCTCTTCTTGCCTGCTTTGTGAATAATGTCTTTTAGCTGCTCTATGATGGTCAGATAGTTAGCGACACCCAGGGTGCCCACCAAAATGCCCACTACACTGGCATCTTTGGCCCGCTCGATGGCATAATAGCGTTTCATCAGTGCCTTGTTGATTTTAACCGATTCCACTCGTCCTGTGTGTGTTTCTGGATTGAATGAGCTGAAGGCACAATGGTTCCAGGTCATCATGAAGTTTGTAAGAGTCAAGCCTTCCTGGCCAATGTAAAACATACTGTAATTATCAACACTCTGCCCCGCTTTTACACTAAACTGTCTGCCAAATTTCAAAATGACTCTATCATCCTGTGAATCTATGTGATCAGTGTCCACACAGCTGTCCCGAATCAGCTCAGCACCACAGGAATGATCTGTTTTTAGAAGAGAGACCACAACATTGGGGTAGATATCACACAAAAGTGTCCTGAGATCACCTGAGGAGAGATGAGATAAACGAACTTTCATGCACACATTCATGAAAATGAGCATTATTAAACATTAGCATAGACTAAACAGTAACAATTACCTATAGCATGTGAATAGGTGACATCATACAGTACGATGACATGACTTTGGCAGTCAGGATAAAGCTCTCTAAAGGCTGCGGCACACTGCTGGACATCAATAGGTCTCTTGCCAAACACATACAGAAGGGGTAGTCTTCTGCATGGGCTGAGGCAAGATGGCCCATAATGCACTATACAGTCTGCTCTCACATGTTCTGCCGCTACCTCATCCACACAACAGCTGAAAAGGAAATAAACAGAAATCAGAGTTCTGGTTGTGCAGCCACACAAAATGAACCCGAGTCACTCAGGATAAAAACATCTGTGAAAATGTAGTGTAATGTACACGAAAACAGTTCTTACCTGCCATAGGATGTGTCTCCTAAAATGAATGTCTTGGCTTTGGTTTCCTTCTCTATTTCGGCAGAGACTCGGACGGCACCAGGCAGGAGTTCATCTGGAAACTGTAAGGCTACCTGTGATAAAAACAGACGCCTAAATAGATCGGTTGGACACTTGGTGTGAGTAAACAAGACAGAAGACTTCTAAAGATGTTGTCTTGCCTTCTTGAATTGATTACTAGTGATAAATTGACAGGTCTCGGCTATCTGATTCCCAGCATGGCTGCCCGTCGCGATGAAGGACACACTGACGGTGCGCTGAAACACTGCCTCACTGCTGCTACTGAAAGCATCTGTCATCTTCTGGCAGGAGTACTCTGGGTCTAAAGAGAATCAGAGTTATAGTTCAGTATTCCATTCTTCATACTACAGGAAAGACCAAACATATCAAAGCAATTATCCTTCCCCACAACAGCACACAATATTATATTTCACTTTGATCCAACCATAAATGTAGCTCAGAGCTGTCATTAAAGGCCCGGAATATTGACAGGTTTTACATTGGGATGACGCTGACTTTCCTAGAAGTGAATCACATTTTTATTAAAATATACAACTGCTATGTCTTCCTACCCTGAAGACAAGATTTGTTTTAACTGCAGTCAACATTCATAATTCGAATACATTCTACAGTCTAATAAGTTGCTATCGGAATATCTACAAGCAGCTAAAATTAGTTGACCGATGGATAAATTAATCTTATAACTTAATATGCGTGCAGGCAAATTACATATTATAATTAACCACAACAAAACGCAACATACCAAAATACAGAAACACATTACGTTATTTTCCACGTGAGCTAGCGGAGCACGGCACGCTCTTCTTCGTCGTTCAGCCCCTAGTTCTGACCTGCGGTCATCATTCTGCCCCTAGTGTCCTGGAGAGACTGCGAGACTGTGACAACTTCCTTATTTTGACCTCAGAATGTGCACAAACAATTCAATAATTCAAGACTAATGTTTTATTAGAATAACTGTGACTTACATTGAATCAGAACCATATTACAATAAAAATATATACACTTTTTTTTGTTCATCTTGTGCGTTTAGTTCTCACCTCTTATCAAGTTTTCAACATGAATTGAAATCATTTTGACAAATACATGTACTATATTCCTTAAATCATTACCAAAACAACCCGATGCACTTTCATTGACATCATACAACTGTTTGTCAGAGCTTTGTACACAGCTGTGTACCAATATTCAGTACAACAGCACTATTACTTGTGACATGTTTAAACATGCTGTGTATTTAAACGGCATCATTACATCACACATAAAAATGTGACATTATCTGATGCACAACATAAACAAATGCAAAGTTAATAGCTGTGTTTTAAAAAATGACCATGTGTGTTTGTTTGTTTTAAAAAAATGTGTATGTATATTTATTTGCAAGAATCTTTGATTTATAACATACCTTGCACCTTCTTTGGCATATTTGTGTACTGTATTATCTTGGGATTCATTCATCTGTTGACATTGGTTTTAATAAGAATGAACATCATGAACTACTGCAAGATGTAGCACTATGTAGGTACCATCTAGGTATGTAAATGTGATTTACTTTTTTCCTAACAGAACTTGATATAATAATGCAGGAATGAACATTTGCTCCAACAGGAGCTGTGAATACCACAGATCTTCTTATGACCCAAGGCTGATGAGACATTTTCTCAGGAAGAACAAATCTGCTGATGTTTACATCCATATCCGATAGAATCCAAGTATGACTGTGAGACACGTGAATACTGAACCTAGAAGAATTACAAAAATAAAGCATGAATCATCAAAATAAATACTGAAGTTTGAAGTCTCCTACAAACTTGTTCTTTTAATGACTTCATAAATTAATTTGTCAATAAAAGTTAATCTTGACTTCTGAATCTGTATGATTAATACAACAAGGACATTCTGTGGCTGTGTGTAAAAATATCTTTACAGAGACCAGTGGTGGAAAAATCTGAATATACTGAAATATCAATTTAAGTTACTGATAAGTCAAGTGTGCAAACAAGAAAAATTAACAAAATATTTAAAAAAAATATAACTTTTTTTTTTACCTGCCAGATATTTGATAGTATCCAGTTTATGTGACTCCAGCATAGTCTTCAGGCCCGCCACTTCTGTGTCGATTTTCATGTTAGTCTGTGTCACGTGACGATCCTGCTCAGAATGCTAAGAAAGAAAATCCAGTTTAAAAAGTTTCATACAAAAAATCAAGACGACATTATTGTCCTAAACACTGGCGTGTCTCACCATTTCTATCAATTCATTCCTGGTCCCAATAAGCTTTCTGTCAAAGTCGGCTGTCTGTACCAAGAGCAAACATCTCAATTAAAGCATCTCTATTGCCAGCAACAACTCAAATAACCAACAAATCGTTGGATTTCAGAGACGGTGAAGCTTCCAAACCTGTTCTTCTAGGGAGTCATTATTTCACTGTACTCACCAACTCCTTCACACAGCTTTTTTCTACATTCAAATCCAAAATGGCATCTGCACGCCTTTTGTTTATCACATCCTGCAGCACAAAACAAAATGGAAAATTACAATGACTATTGTACATAGTAAAGACCTATGTATAATGTATGCCTCTTTGACAAGCTCTGAATAGCAAAGCAAAACATTTTTTTCATTAAAAAGTTTTTTTCATTTACTTACAGTGAGTTGTATTCTTAGCTGTGATAGCTCAACCTTGATTTTCTGTAAAAGAATTAAGATACAGTACATAATACTTCTTCATTAGGTGAATGCACAAAGCTGTTAAAAAGTAAATTCAAAGCAATTGGCAAACAAATGGCAAACTTTTTATTTCACAACTATTATGTTATATTTATTCGAATTCACCAAGATAATATAGAAATGGCAGAAAGAAAGATTTATAAATATATACTTACATTACCACTCAAAAGTTGTTTTTTTCTTTACAGTTTTTCTCGATTGCTAACACACAGTTTATGAAACAATTCACCATTTGCTCACAACTATTAACACAATCTCAAAACTACACACCAACTAGTGAAAACTTCAAACTTCCAGGTCAAAATCAAATAGTTTAGTCAAAAACATGTTCTCTTTTGTCGGACTCAAACTTTGGCCTCAGATGACACACAAACCTGCCAAATACACAGACTACTTCACGCCCTAGAGAACACTAGTGAGATCAATTCAAAACACTGTTACAAAACATAGATTTTGGGAAACAGGAATCCTTTTGCTAGTCAATGTCTGTTACAGTATACGACATAAATAGAGGGGTGCAGATACAGTAAAATTCAGCAATAAACTTTAAGAAAAGTTTACTTTCATTCCACTACTGTAAAGAGATCTTACAGTAGATGAAAAGCATTAGAAGAGAAAAGTTCAAAGACCAAACAACTGAATATACAGTAAACACACACATGGGAATATACTGTCAGTTACTTTACAGAAATAAATAAATAATGAATGAATAAATAAATAAATAATTACTGTAAATTCATTCATTCATTCAGCATCCTCTGCCAAATTGCCTTACAGTATTGGTAGTATCCTTATTTGTTATAGCAGTTTCTAAGTCTTCTGACAAGACTTCTCTGCCTCCCCCAGACAGTCGTCTCTCAGTTCTGCACAAATACAGTACATACTTGGCTGGCTACAAATAAATCCAACAGTAATGAGTTTGAGGGTGTACAACATGTACTACAGTATCTCTCATCTGAAGTACTGCTACTATGTACTGTAATTATATTGTAAGTGTATTGTGTAAGTAGTATTGAAACCTTGTAGATGAGCCCGTAGGCCAACTTCCCTCATGGTCAGTCCATGCAGAAGAACATGGTCGTATCATCCTACGATTCTGACCTGTGTGTCATCAGTTTTGCTACTTAATGTTCACACATGGATAAATGTGTGCTGTTTGAATTCATTTTTTTGACGCTTGAGTTAATTATATTGTGTGTTTGTGTTTTCTGAATGAGAACATGGTTAAACTTGTGCAAAATGATGGTGTTTTTGTGTAGAGTTTTGCAGAAAACACTGAGCAAATTGGAACGTGTCTGGAAACAGGTGAAATGTGTTAAAAGTTTTGAGAAACGTGTCTTTGTTTCAAGAACTGTATGAATGTTTTGGAAAATTGGGCCAAATGAATCAGTTATAGTGTGTTAGCAATCGAGAAAAACTGTAATGAATACTTTTATTGAGCAAGGATGCATTAAATTGTTCAAAAGACACAATGTTACAGAAGATTTATTTCAAATAAATGCTGTTCTTTTGAACTTTATATTTACCAAAGAATCATGAAAAATTTGAAAAAAAAAAAAAAAAAATCATAATTTTTTTTTTATTATTAAGCAGCACACTTGTTTTCAAAATTGATAATAAGATCATCATATCAGAATGATTTCTGAAGGATCGTGTGACACTGAAGACTGGATTAATGGCTGCTGAAAATTCATCTTTGCAAACCCAAGAATTAAGATTTTTAAACATTTTTAACTTGTAAAAATATATCTATTTTTGATCAAATAAATGCAGCCTTCGTGAGCATGCGACCTCTTTCAAAAACTAAAGAATCTTACTGACCCTATACCTTTGAACGGTAGTGTATAATCACACTGAATACAGAAAAATTATTTTCAAGTATAGCAATGGAGTGGGTGATGATGATAATAGATCACACAACCTCACCTCATTCTCTGCTAGTAATGCTGAGAATTCACTCTTCTCCAGAATGATCATGTCCTTTTTCACAGCAGCAATATGAGACATGACTTTCTGTAACATGATTTCCTGTAAAATTGAACTAGTTAAGTAGAGTAACTGACCTCTTTGACCTGGGCTCTGATATGAGGGAAGTTGCATAGACAACAACAGAGCCATTTTTTTAATGTGTACATTAAAAACATCACACCAGAATCAACTTTGGTAATCGTTTGCCAACCATGAATCTGACAGTCGTTTACACAACAAACAAATTATTCATCAAAAGTTGAATACACAAACTAACACCTCATGAGAGCTCTGGTTCACACCTCACATTAGCTAAATCAGTAAGTGTTGGCCACAGGTCATGGTCCACTCAAACAATCAGAAAAGCATGAAAGGACAATGAAAACCTCACCTGCTGCGTTTTGGTAGCCATGTCACCGTACATAACGTCCATGTTTGAATTTGTGATATTTACCATCATATTGACGATGACCTCTGCCTGCTGAGTCACGAAACCTGAAAGGACACGGAACATTTTGATGAATCACTGAATTGGAATTAGCCAGAGTATTTAGAAACACAGACAAGAAATCTTACCACTTTCCTCAAGCAGCTGAACCATTGCATGAGTATCAAAGAATAACGTCCTATTGCCAGACTTAGTTATGTCTGATTTTTTCAGGTCATACTGTATTGTTTTAACTGAGGTACTCAACTCTGAAATAAAGACAATGAGTGAAATATGCAAATCATAGAGAACTGGTCATTAGTAAACAAATAGAATATCTGCAAACCTAGACGTGCGTATCACTTCTAATAGCAAAAAAATACATATGTGCATACATACCTCTGACCAACATGCGTGAACCTCTCAAAAGCCGAAAGAACTGCGTGTCAGACCTTAAAGAATTAGTCCTTATTCCGTTAAATCCATATCTAATCGCTGAGATTAGATGGCTGCTGTGTGCAGACATCATTCTGCTGAAGATAAGCACTTGTTTGTATATAAAGTACTAAATATGTAGAGGACATTAAAATGTTGCGGGATCGCGGCGGGGGACCTGATGTGACCGCATGATCTTGCTTTTCTCCTGTGTCCGTCCCCTAAAGTCATTACATAGAACAAAGATTCTTAAATTCCTGAGATAATTCAGGAGAATTGTATATAACCGAAACTGTAACACATTCGTGTGTTGTAGTGTAAAAAAACACTATAAAGTTTTCTAAACTTTTCTCCTTTCTCTGTGACAGATCCACCTCTGTCAAACTTCCTGTAACAGAGCGAGTAAACAATGACGTTTCTTCTTCTTCTTCTTCTTTTGGCGTTTTATGGCGGTTGGCAAACAAACGATAGGTGCATTCCCGCCACCTACTGGGCTTACTGGGCTACCATTGATGGAATGGAAAAAAAATAAAATAAATATATATCCACCTGATAGCTAATAATATTGCTACCATCTCTGTAGTGTAAACTCCTACTTGATCAGAAACTCTTTTACCAATCTTGATTTGATAAGTTGGGACAAATACAGCTGCTGATGCTCGTCCTGTCTCGTGATCTTTGGAACATCAGTGAAAATTGAGATTGCGGAGTACAAAATAGTACCTCAAATGATTAAAAATTATTAATTTTTATTGTTCAACAAATGGTAAGTGAAGAGAGGTGCTTCAGAACATGTTTATTGTCAACCTCAGGAACACAAACGAAATATTGTTTACAATATTGTTGACACAGTTACCATGCGTGTGTGTGTATGTGATATTACAACTTTCTACCAATAAACATGAGAAACAGTAGAGTCTGACTCTAAATATCAGTCTGATGTTGCCTGACAGATCTTACAACACATTCAGTAAACTGGTTGTAACAGTTTATTTTAAAATGCATTTATTTTATAAAATATAATATTCATGAGACATTTGTAAATGAAGAAATTACAGTGCATGAAGGAAAACAAAAGGATTATCAACATTGTCTCAAAATACTCTGTAACACCATTGGAATAATCTTTTTCAAATCTCTTTGAAAAAGCAACCTTCAAATTGAGGTAATTACAATATTCATTTTCTGTAAACTTTTTCTTACCTATATTTTATTATCAATTAACCTCTACTGGTGTATTATTAGTGACTGAGTATTAATGCCAGTTAACTATGACTAACATTTTAAAACAAACAGTTCTATTGTTTCTGGCTATTGTACCGGGTTTCTAGACATTTGATGTAAAGTAAATAATTAGAAGTCACAATAGATAAAAACATGTGGATAACACATTAAAGCCCTACGCGTTTCTGTTGGTGGTGTTTTGAGAAGACAGTACAGACTTGCTAGGTAATAGTTAATGTATTAAATTTTGTGTGAGTGTAAACTAAAACAAATGATGAGTTCTGAAGGTACAACATGATAAACCAGCTTATGAACAGCCCACTTATGTTTATATACAGCATCCTGAAAGTACATCAGTAAATCAGAAAGTAAATCAGATTTTACTACTTGCCGAATTTTCACATTTCAGTTCTGCATTAGAGCGAAGATTCATTCATCAGGCTCTCTTTTGCTATAAAAGATCACACACCCAAAGTTAATGGCAGTTTTTTGATGTGTAAAAAGGACTCATGGGCTCTGTTGAGATCAACAGTAAGGAACTGTTACATAGTTAATAAGTACACAGACTGTTGATGTTTGGCTGAACACAATTGAAGAGACCTCTGGAAAAGAAAAAGCCTACACAACACAAGTGATGATAAGACTTCAGACCAGGAACACCACACACACTGATAGCACCATGGCAAAGATCGCCACACCGCACAGCATCATTACTGCAAACATCTGGCTGCGCCTGCAAAAGCCTTGAGCTGCCTCTTCGTCGATGGACAGCAGCGCTAGCGAAGCGCTGTCAGTGCTGACGGGGTCAGCATACTGAGGACCCAGCGCCTCCACTGTCCAGCGCAGCACATTGACCTTCAGCTCCATGTCCTCCAGCGTACGGTCCACCTGTGCGATCTCTTGCTCCAGCTGACTCTGCTCCTGACCCTCCATGCTGGATGTCTGGGACCCGTCACCTGCCTCCTGCAGGTCAGGCAGACTCAAGGCCCATGCTGCCACCTCTGTTGTCCCCCCTGCTTAAGCAAATACGTGTATCAGACTAATTACAGGGTTGTGACAGTTAAGGTGCGGTCACATTTACTGTTACTTTGTGAAAACCAGATCCAAATACCTTAATGTTTAAAGGGAATGAAGTACAGTGCTTTCAATGGATTCTACTGTTGTTTAACAACATATTGATTGTTCAGCTGACTAAATCCCTTTCCGAAAACCTTTAAGTAGACAAAAAATCCATAACATAGTTTTAAAAAGCTGTAAGGCTCTGTAAAGACTGTACTATGAACATTGGACAATTGTCAATGGTTTTCCATGGCAAATTTTGCTGAAATGTTGTAAATATGACAGCACCTGTACATTCATATGTTTGAGGAATATACAGAAGTTAGTCAGCAGTTTGTCACTAGTCTTAAATAATTCGTAATCTGACATGAAACTGCTACAGTTATGCATGCTTACCCTGTATGCCTGTTTGCACCATGGCACTGTTATTGGCAAGGGAAAAGTGCTTGACCGTGGTGAAAACCTTGCACATGTCTGCATGTAAGAGCTCCAGACAAGAGGAGAATGCCACCCACAGCAGCTCTGTTTCCTTCCTCTCAGCCTCCGGTAATGTTTTATCCCTCAGTCGAGCTGTCAGGTGGTTTCTGCAGGACAGCGCTAGTGTCTGGGCTCGCTCTCGTGTTTGCCGAAGATCACGTCTTAGGCTGGAATTGTCCGTGCATCCACCAACACAGGAGGCCAAGTGCCGATAACATGCCACCACCTGAGTCAAATCAGATCAATATGGAGTTATGAACTTTAACTTTAGAAATAAAATAATATATGGTTATCATTCTTCAATATCTAGACTGATATCTCATATTAATAAACAGAAAAGGTTTGAATGCACAATAGGATTTCATTCAGAATAACAGGTCATACATTAGCCAAACTGTTCTGAGTGCAGTTATTAATAATGCTAACATACCTCACTGACCCAGGTTCAGAAACATTAATTACCTCCATCCCAAGTTTTATAGAGCACAAGGTAGCTGGTTTACTTGACATACATTAGGCCTTTTTTAGACTAAACAATACTGCTTGTGGTGGAAAAAAATCTTCCCAATTCTAGAAGTAGGAAAAAGGACATATCTGAGTTTTTGTAAGAAATCTTTGTTTGGTTCTTTAAATCCAATCCAAATCTGAATATATATACTAAAGTACCATGCAAAGGTTTGGGTTGGTAAGATTTTTTAATCAAATGATGTCTTATGCTCACCAAGGCTGCATTTATTTGATAAAAAAATACAATAAAAATAGTAATATTCTGAAATATTACAATTTATAATGATTGTTTTCTATTTTAATGTAGGCTATTTTAACATGTCATTATTTCTGTGATGGCAAAGCTGAATTTTCAGCAGCCATTACTCCAGTCTTCAGTGTCGCATGATCCTTTAATGTTATAAAATCACACATATCATTGTTTTTTATAAGGTTAGATAACTGTTCAGGTTATCAAACATCATTATGGATAGACTAAGGATTAGTTTGAGTGACAAATATTACTTATAATCTGCTTGTCATAAGATGGCTATTTCAGGATAAGCTTTGGAAACTTTTGGGATCTTGGTTTAGTACATGCTGTCTATGGCCATTTGAATTTGAAAAAGATGTAAAAAGATTTGATCAGTGCTAATCGTTTTTACATTTTTCTTTAAACTGTATGTCTGAAGAGAATATGTATTAATGCTTAAGTAGGTGAACGGAGTAAACAGGTAATTTTGCTGCTCTAGTCTGAGTACTGACACATGCCTCCACTGAAGATAATCAAGCAGTGGAGCGTGGAGCACCCCTACTCAGAGATAGTGCCTTTTCACCCTAAGGCTTGAGGAACACACCATTATAAGATGCTTTCATGTTCAGCCTAGAAATAAGGAGACATGAGGACACGCACATGCTTTGGCATCTTCAACAAGGTTGTCATCACGTCTTAAACACAATGGAAAATAAACGGAAAATTATTTTTGCCATATTTATAATCTAATTGATGTATTCCCCTCATTTTTTTTATCATAATAGTTAGCATTAGACCACACAAGAGAAAATATATGACAACATATAATATTTAGGGAAAGATTTATATTATAATATTTTTATATAATATTCAGTCTGTTAGCAAAAAAATTATTGAATGGTGCCGATTATTAAAAATGATTAGAAATGATATCACCACAAAAGTTTGTTTAGAGGAACGTTCAGTTATTGGATCATGTAATATCAACTCACCTTGATGAGGGAGTCCACCATTGCTTTTCCTTCTTGCAGTGGCTGTGCTGAAGTTCCATCGTCAGCGACCTTGTTGTTGCACAGTGGCATTGGGTTATGTTTTCAAAGGTAACAAGGTTGAATCCCTGTTCCAAAAGCTACCATCCACCCCCAAACTCACCAACCCTTATACACCCTTTGTCTTAGCTGGAGTAAACTATGGTCCATATTTGAGCTGCCAGTCCTCGCTGAACCTTTGAAAGCTTAATGTATCAATTTTCACCTACAAAAATAAAAATCTTAGAAAGGAAAATAAAGATTACAAAAGGTCAAGGTTACAAAGGTTTCCAAAAAAAGAACAGAAGAAAAAAACAGAGAGGTGTGGAGCATTATGATGTGAAAGTCGAGTGTGATAATCTGATACGATTGACCCCTTTGAAGCCATGTGGTTAAGCTCATTACATGCTGCTGAGAGGTGCGGAGATGCTGGGGCCTGAGAATACGTCACTAGCTCCTCCAGAAATCCCCTCTTCTTCTACTTCCATCACTCTCTCTTTCTTTCTCTCTCCTTTCTCTTTGTGTGTGTGTGCCTGAATGACAGGCCAGGCCCTGAGGGGCAAGTTGTGGTCCAGTGTTTGCTGCGGTTCTTGTAACGGTCAACCAACATGTCCAGGGTGACATTGCCAGATTTGTCACACGCTTACACTAAATGAACTCCAATACATAGAACAGGTGCATCTCAATAAATTAGAATGTCGTGGAAAAGTTCATTTATTTCAGTAATTCAACTCAAATTGTGAAACTCGTGTATTAAATAAATTCAATGCACACAGACTGAAGTAGTTTAAGTCTTTGGTTCTTTTAATTGTGATGATTTTGGCTCACATTTAACAAAAACCCACCAATTCACTATCTCAAGACCATTTTGAAGGCTCAGGAAACCTTTGCAGGTGTTTTGAGTTGATTAGCTGATTGGCATGTCACCATATTCTAATTTGTTGAGATAGTGAATTGGTGGGTTTTTGTTAAATGTGAGCCAAAATCATCACAATTAAAAGAACCAAAGACTTAAACTACTTCAGTCTGTGTGCATTGAATTTATTTAATACACGAGTTTCACAATTTGAGTTGAATTACTGAAATAAATGAACTTTTCCACGACATTCTAATTTATTGAGATGCACCTGTATATAAAGTTTCAATCTAAACATATACAATGAATATATAAAAAATGTAAACAAGGATTAGTCAGGCAATTATTAGTCTCCTCTGTCTCAGGTCAAATTAGATTAGGGGCATGTTAAAATAATCCCTGAAATATATCTGCTGGATTGGTCTGGTTATCCCATTTTAACCATGACCATACAGACCATACAGGTGCAAATCCTTTTTTGACGAACATATAGAATATCATTTTGGACAATATATGAAGCAATTTGACAGGAAATACAAACACATGAATGTGAGAAGAAATAGGCCTAAATTATCAACAGACTAGGTTTTGTGTCCATTCTCAACATCTAGCCTTATTGTTTAAACCTCTACCCAAGAGATTATAAATCAGATTCTCTTGGCATTTAACATTGGTAGTTTTGTAGGCTTGTTGGCTACCTCAAGTTTTTATTATATATTATGTTATTTAAGAACATATAATCAGCGGATTATCACAGTTTGAGATGTGATTTCAAAGTAGTTATTACAAGTTTTAACCCAGAAACAACTTCCCCAGTGGACAGTTTAATTATCACCAAATAATGAAAATTACACTTTTGATAAGCATACATAGGCTAATAAAATTGTTATTTAACCCTTTAACTTTACTAATGCAATTATCTACTTTTGATATACTGTACTATAATAATAATAGCTTACTCTCAATGTTTTATCATTCACCGTCTAGCATAGCACAGTCATTATGGTCATGAGTTGGGTTTCTTTTTTTCTTTGTACATTTAATCAGGCACATCTTTTACATGTGACGTTGCATATTGTACAATACAAAGGTAATTTGTTCAACAGACAATAAAGCATGTCATTTCATCAGGGTTGACTGTTTTCCAATTCTCTTGTCTTTTTACTTGTCCTTAATCTGAGAAGAAAAAGGGTTGAACAACTTATCACAAATAACATAAAAAAAAAAAACAATGCAATTTTTTTGAACCACATGAAACTTACCATGACTTGTCTTCAGGGTTTTGTAGCCCTTGAGTTGTGTCTGAGACTCATGTGTCATTATGTTTCCCATCATTCTGGTGAAAGAAAAATTTTAAATTTATACATACATACGTACATAATGGACTTAAAACCTCACTAAGGTTTACTGAGGTTAGAATACCTGAGCAAAGAACAAAAACCCAAGACCTCATAACTCCATCTAGTGGCTGACAGACAGCAGACTGAGAGCCCTCCTTGGTTTACATGTTATTTTACTAAAAGCTTCACACAAGAGGGCCCTCATGTCACTGTGCCATGTTTTTACTGACACCCTGGGGCGAGCACAATCTCCTGATCAGCACATATAGTTCAAACTTCCCTACAAAAGCTATAGAAGAATTCACGTTCATGTTTTTTTTCTTTGAAAATATTTAACTTACAGATCTCAGTTTAAATGCTTCAGTTTGTTTTCTATTCTCTTCTATCAGTTTAAATGCATCCTGTTTGTTTTGATATTATATTATATTATATTATGTTATGTTAGGCCTATATTATAAACCTAATAAATAATTGACCTTGTTTTTTAATGGAGTCACTTATGCTCTCATCAAGGCTGTATTTATTTGATCAAAAATACAGAAAAAAACTGTAATATTGTGAACTATTAGGCTATTGCAATTTCTAATATAGGTTTCATATTTTAATATGCGTTAAAATATAATGTATTCCTGGTGAAGCAAAGCAGAATTTTCAGCATCATTACTCCAGTCTTCAGTGTCACATGATCCTTCAGAAATCACTCTAATATTCTCATTTATTATCAGTGTTTAAACTGTTGTGCTGCTTAATATTTTTTTTATTGTGCTGTTTTGATTCTTTGATTAGGCTTATAAAAAGTTAAAAAGTACAGCAATTATTAAAAATAGAAATCTTTTCTAGCAATATAAGTCTTTACTATCACTTTTTATCCATTTAACACATCCTTGCTGAATTAAAGTATTAATTAAAAAAAATAAGAAAGAAAACATTTACTGACCCCAAACTTTTGAATAGTATAGTGTATATTGTAATACAACATTTCTATTTAGAATAAACACTGTTCTTTTTTAACTTTTTATTTATCAAAGAATCCTAAAAAAGATCACAGGTCCCAAAAAATATTAAGCAGCACAACTGTTTCCAACATTGATTATACATCAGCATATTAGAATGATTTCTGAAGGATCATGTGACACTGAAAATTCAGCTTTGCTTTAAAGGAATAAATTAAATTTTAAAGTATATTAAAATAGAAAACTTTCATTTTGAAATTGCAATAATATTTCACAATATTATTTTGTGAAATAATATTCAGTATTTTTGATGAAATAGATACACCCTGGATGAGCCTAAGAAACTTCTTTTAAAAATGTACTGATCCCAAACTTTTGAACGGCAGTGTATTATACTGTAAAAATATTTTCTCAGGTAACCTAAAATGTACATCATTTAGTTATATCAAGGGTCAAATCAAATATAAATAGCACATTAAAGTTAAAAGTTACACACTTTTTGTGTGTACGCACTGTAGCCTACAGGTCTGATATAATGTTTTTGCTCAGGTGGCCGAAATGTCCGCCCAATAGAGAAAAGTTTTGCTCAGCAAGAAACAAATTAGAGGGAACATTGCCCCCATGTCATTTTTTTTCCCCAGAAGAGGTATGTGGTTGTGTGAATATAGACATCAAACTATCTCCTTTTGTGTTCCATGCAAAAAACAACAGTATATGATTGGGAACAACAGGAGTGTGAATAAATGGAAAACTTCATATACCACTTTTCCTGAGAACCCTAGATAAAACTGTATTCTGTATAGATTTATGAGAAGTTCATTTTTAATTTTTTTCATGAGAAATGAAGGCACTGAGGGGTACCTCTGCAAGGTTCGGTGCAACGGTTGTTTCCAAAATACTTTCTTGGGTTGTATTTGCATTTAACGTATGGTTTGTCATCTGTAGTGGAAAAGAATCAGGACATATATATAAAATAACATAACTGAGACTTAATCTGAAAGCTTTTAAAGCTATCTTACTAGAGGCGAGATTTACAGCATGATATAGTATAACTGTGGCTCCGAATATTACTCTGTTTGAAGCAAACAAAAAACACGACACTTACCTGCTCGGAATTATTTCCATTAACAGGACCTTCCTGTAGATATCAATGAGGCAATAACTGTGGTTTATTCTCTTAAACAGCAGCTATGCTATGCTAGCATGTATATTATTACAAGTTACGATGTCTCTCCATCATGAATTAACGCAAAAGTATTTTTGGGGATGTTCATACTTTTGTCATTTCACACTGCATTTATGAATACTTTGTCTTGAACACAAAAGTGTTATTGCTTTTGTGTTTATTCTCTTGAAGGCAGCTAATTACCTCTGAGGGTATGTATGTCAGAAATGTGAATGAATTTACGTAAGTCTTGGGTGTTTTCTTGGATGATGTCTGTGTAAAGATAAGGTAGCATTATTAAAAACAACACTTATAGAAATAGTAAACAATCAAATATATAAAAATAATTAAATTCTGATGGCTTTTGATACTATAACCACAATAAAAGTTATATATATAGCTAAAACAGTTCTGCATGGTACAATGGACATAGGCTTAATGACAAATATATTACTGATCAGTTACTTATTTTCTTTGTCAGCCGTTTGTCAATAATTATAAATATACATAAATCTCAGAACAGAAAAAACATGTATACACTATGTCAGTAACTGTTTTGAATTAACTGCAAAACTGTAATTGTCAGGAGCGTCTGATTAATGCTATAAGAGAAATATTTGGACATACCTCATGCCCTAGAAGTGTCACCAAACAGACACACAGAGCACAGATGAACACTTTTGTTTCCATCCTCAGTGTCACTGTATCAGTGAGTCGGAGGTTTTGCAGCTGAGATGTCAGGGGTTTAGAAGAGGTTTTTTGTGTTTGTGTATTTTTGGAGCTTGTTGCTTTCAACAGGGAGGAGCCTTGAACAAACTGATGGTCATTCAACTGTTGGATCAGTTGCTTTTTTTTTTTTTTTTGGCAACAAAGTCTCTCAAAATGTCAAAACAAAAAAGGACTCTACAATTAAACCCCTAGAACGCGATTTCATTCGTTACCATCTTAACCATCAATGTTCCAGTTAATATCAGAACATTTTTGATTAACATGCATGTATACATAATACAGACTACAGTCATTTTTAACATTTCAATAATATAGATGCAGAAAAAAAAGAC